ATAAGAAAGGTACAGAACAAGAAATTAAGGAAGGATTGGGGCCCCCTTTCGACAGAAGGTCCTGTCTGTTTGCTTCACGAGAAAGAAGGCCCTGAGTCAGTTTAGACTCGGGCTCTTTATTCAAAAGTTCTTTTTGTCTGTTGGTCTCTGGAGAATCCAGTTTGAACTAGTATATGTGAGCCTGTCCAGGTGGTGGTGCTTCTCTGGAGGTGTACCTAAATACATTTGCCTAATCACCCCCTACTGTTCTTAGTTCCTGGAGGAGCTGTGGTCACCCTCTCCCATGGAATTATGTTGAATCCCTGACCCACAATGATACATAAACTTCATACAGTAAGTTCTCCCCGAGATATTGCAGGAGATTGCCACATCTTGCCCTTAATGAACTGGATGTAACTACTGTGTTTGACCTACATCCTAGGGAAACCCATTGACTTATTTCCTGGACAGGTTTATTTGTGTGGATGGTGTTTCTGTCATTACTTTTCATAATTTCACATTTCATCCTGGTCTGCAGGCACCTGGACCACCTCTGGCAGTGATGCATTAGGGCTGGACAGAATGTGGTTGCTGCCTCTGTCAGCTTCTCTCTGGCCTTCTTCCCGGGAGTCGGCTCCAAGATTTCCCCTGGTGGGCTGGATGTGTCCTGCAAACCATCATTCTCCCCCTCCCCACCCCGGTCATCAGCATACTTGCAAGTTCACGAGCTGTACTGTTGTCTGATCCTTACTGCTGAGCTGCCTTTCTTTGCATAGATCAAGCATCTGACATGTCTTCAACTGTTCATAATTCATTCTCTTTGTCTTTCTTTTCTCTCTTCCTTTCCCTAAAAGACTGAGACTTTTCTTTTTGCTTTTCCCTTCCATGGTACTTGCTTTCACTGCTGTTGGGACTTATGGTAATTCACCCAGTCCTAGATCCCACACATGCTGACACCCTATATGTCACAGTTCAGGGCAGTGGCACCTATATTCTCCCCTTTATGGTTCCTTGAGGGCGCCAACTCTAGGCTCCTTAGCCATCACCTCTTTTGGGTACAGACCTGCATCCAGGGATTTTCCAGGCTGAATAGTTCCCTGTCTGCACTGTGGTATTCCCACCAACCCAGACTGGCTAAACAGTCCAACATTTGTGCTTTGCTTTGTCTGCAAAGTCTTACAACAATGTAATTGCTGACAGTTATGAGTTACCACACAGCCCTTTATAAGCAAGCACATTTATTCTGATGGTGAAAGCATTACAGAGAAAACATATAAAATAATAAAAGTTCCTATACGCATGCTAAAAGCTTATCTGATGTCACCCATCAGTCTTATGCGGCCTTAGTAGGCCAAAGTCCTTCCCATCCTTCCCAGGAAGGATTGGGGTATCCTTTGGACAGAAGGTATTGTCCAGTTGCTGGATCAGAAAGAAGGCCCTGAGTCAGTGTAAACTCAGATTCTTTACCCAAAAGTCCCCACCACACTGTTGTTAGTTTCTGGAGGAGCTGTGTTTCCCCCTCCCCCATGGAATTACACAGAATCCCTGGCCCACAATGCTACTTCTTAATAGAGGAAGATCTCCCACAGATATTGCAGGAAGTTGCCATCTCTGTCACAATGACTACTTGTGGTCACTAAAAGATCCCATGGCAATTTCAGCAAGATGTCTGTTGTTCTGACCAATTTTCAATATGGGAAATACACTCTGCCTCCCTAACTTCCTCATTGACTTCAATGGAAACTGAGTTAAACCAATACAGAGCAGTGTGGAAATCTCATTGTGTGTATGTGCATTATATAATTATTCATATACTCTGAATATTATAGCAGAACTCACGCTCAAAAATCTTCAGATACACACTAAAGAAACTGCAGTACAATGGCAAAAATAATGAGGTTTGATGAAAATGATGATTGAAAAGAAAATTCACTTTCCATTGGATATGTACCTAAAATTGGCATTTTATTAAAAGCAGGCTGACCTATGTGGTGAAATGCAGAAAATGCTATATAAATATATGGAAAGCTGTGTATTCCACATAGTTTTAGATGATTGTACCTTCATGAAATTGAAATGCAGATGAGCTGATTAAGATCTGATATTCATTATACTTTAGTATTGTCTAGCAGAGTTCTGTATAATCAGACATGCACAACATGCTTCCTGAGCACTTTCACAAAGCCTTGACTGTATAATGACAGTTAAAGTGCATCTTTTCCAATAATTACATGGTCTGCATTCGGTCTGGGCTAATAAACTTCAAGACAACTTAAATTCCACATTTTAATATTAGAAATCCATTTAATTATAAGTAATCTTCAGATCTGTATGTCACCTATATTTGCATTTATATTCCGCAGTGACTCTGCAATATAATTTTCTGTTTATTGTCTTGAGTATGCATCTAATATAAATCTACAATTTCACGTAGGCCATGCTGGCACACAGCCAAACCTTTAATTTATCTCACCCTTGTTTTGTAAACTAAAAGAAACTGCTGGTGTGATTAGCAAACGTTCCATAGGCACAGGGCCGGCTCTGGCTTTTTTGCCGCCCCAGGCAAAAAAGCCTCCGGCCGCCCCCGGCGGGGGCTCCGCTCTCCCCCCGGCGGCCAGGGGGAGGGCGCCGGAGGGGAGGGCGGTGAGCCCCGGCGGGGGCTCGGCTCTCCCCCCGGCGGCCAGAGCGCCTGGGGCAGGGTGGCGAGCCCCGGCTGGGTCTCGGCTCTCCCCCCGGCGGCCAGAGCACAGGGCGGCGAGCTCCGGCTGGGGCTTGGCTCTCCCCCCAGCGGCCAGAGCGCAGGGTGGCGAGCCCCACCAGGGGCTCGCTGCTCTCCCCCGGCGGCCGGGGGAAGGCGCGGGGGGAGGGCGGCCAGAGCGTCGGGGGGAGGGCGGCGAGCCCGGCTGTGGCCCCGCTCTCCCCGGCGGCCGGAGCGCCGCGCCGCCCCCCTCCAGGTGCCGCCCCAAGCACCAGCTTGGTTGCCTGGTGCCTGGAGCCGGCCCTGAATAGGCAGGGCTGAGGTGGTAGCTTGAACAAATACTACCTGTTTACCTGTATTGTCAATCTCCAGATGAGTTTTTCTAGAAACAAAAACTGTTAAGATATGCTGTTTCCTCATGTAATATTCCTACAAGGTATCTGCCAGCAATGGGCTTTTTCCCCACTGGAGTTGGAGAGGCTATCAAAGAAGGTAATTTTCAAATTAACACTCTGTTCACCACAGGGGAGTAAGTAGCCAAGTAGAATCTATTGCCGTTAGGATTTTTGCCTGTGCTGATTAATTGTTTTCCATTCTAGGCTATCATATTGGTAAAATATTTACATTATGTTTGATGAAAATCTGCTAGGAAATGAATCCACACAGTGTTGCTGCCTTTTGATTTTCCTTGTCTCTGAAACATTGCCATGGTTTTGGTTTATTTGTACTTTTCTCTCTATCCCTTGCTGTCACACTCAGTAATTGGCCTAATAAAAGGTAGCAACAAGAATTTATTACACCTCGAGCAATACTTAAAACAAACTTTTATTTGCTGGAACAGCACTTTTTATCTACTTGCTGCTGTATATTTTGACACTCCCTCTAAATACTAAATCTGACTTTATTAAAAGTTGAATCACTGCACTTTTTTTTTCTGTGTGTAGGGGGTTGTCATTGCTTTTGCGGTTTCTGAGGCAGACTAATATTTCTATATAAATAAACATTTCATTTTAATGAAGCTTTAGGAGACACATTTAAGCAGGGGCTATATCGACTTCATTACTGTCAATCCACAAAAGTTGCATGATTTAAAGAAAATATTCTTTAATACTTTTGTAAATTACCCTTGGAATAATTCTGGCGATGACTAAGGTGAATACAGATTTAGTGTTTTTATAACATTTTCCTCAAACAAAAGGTATCTTTTTATTCAGAGTTGTTTGATAGAGAAGAAAACATGTTAGTCAGACTTCATTGTGAACTAAATTCTGACGTTGAATTTGTATTTCATCCATATAGCAGACAGTAAAATGATCAAGGAAAATAATTTTTAAAAATTGTCTTAAGAAATTGCAATACAAATTCCTGAATTTGTTTTATGCAGGAATTTTTATTTTTTTTATCTTCCAGTGTTAAAGCAACAAGAAAACATTTAGAACGTCCTTTGGTGGAATCTTATTACACTTGTTATATATGTAAACTGATATTCTTTGATGCCAGCACGTTGCCCATACAGAGAAATCTCTGCACAATTAAATGAAAGGAGAAAAGAAAAAAAAAAAGATTAAATAAAAAGTAATATTTTTCTTATCTGATTAGAATTAAATACATTAATAAATTGTCTGGTAACACAAATTGTCAATAATACAAAAAATCTACATTGTACATTATTTCAAGAAAAATAACTTCATTTGAATACAAAAGGATAAATACACTTTTTGTCCTATAGCCACTCTTGTACAGTAGATGAACACAGCATCTTACTGATGCGGTGCTGCTAAAATATACAAGGATATGACTGTCTTGAGTTTTATTGAGGGGGGGCTGTTACACATGTGCATCACTAACATCAGACAAAGAAACCTTTCAACCAACAAGGGTTACAGAGCAACGTTCACTAAAGCACAGGTTGGAAGGGATTTAGGGACTGAAGCAGGCCAATATGGCAGCTTTAACAGATTTCCTTATACCCACAATGCACTGACAGCAAAGAATGCCTCTATTTGGTTGGTCCACACACTGGGCAGAGGTACAGTAGCGCACCATATCAAAGTGGCAAATGTTTTTTATTTTCCATTTTGGGGGCTCGTCAAAGCCTTTTCAATCCTGTGTACTCTTTGCAGCTGGCATTGTTGTTTGTAGTAATAGACTTGGCAGCTGCCAACTTGTCTTGAGTCAGAAATTAACAGTCGTTTGACTCAGAGTGCTGTCCACAATTGATTAATATGGCTTAGTTCAGTTGGGCCTTCTTAGTTTATACGTGGTTTTATTCTTTTTCTTTTTTAAAATTTTAGTAGCAAATGCTTGGGTTTTGTTTTGTTTCTTTTGTGGCACATTCCTTCTGAAGCAGTCTGAACGCGATGCCATCAACCAGACGGAGCCTAGAATATGAAAAGCCCAGTTACTCCTAGTAGAGCAGTCAGCGGTAATAGAGGGCCATGTGATACTGCCATGTTGCCGGAGTTTTGGCTGCAACCTCCTGGATCCCTTTCACACTTCAGCTTCTCACACAAAATGCCAGTGTAGGCTGGAGGGCACTGGCATCGCATGTTTTTGAGGCATGTTCCTCCATTCTGGCATTGCAGTAGTTCTTTGTCACATACATTTGCTACAGGACAAGGGGAAAATAGAAGAAGAGCAGAATAAGCTTAAATTCATTTGTTACAGAAAGCTTTGAACTTACATTTTTTTCTCCTTAGAGATGTAAATAGATATGTGATTCCAGTTTCCCAACAATTGCAGTTTACAATTTTTTATCATTTAGCTATTTTCCCATACATTTTTCTTGCTTTAATCTTAGAGAATATGATCTTCCATTTCAGACAACTGAATACTAAGTTACTTAATATCTACTGTTTGTCAGTGTCTTTACTATTATTGAACTGGAATGTTTGGTGAGTGCCTTATTTGAAAGGACATTGTCTGTGCTAGCATCACAGAGCTCTTGAAAAACATTAATGGCAATTAAAAATGCAACACAATGAGGTGAAATGAATAGAACTGTATGAGAAATCTGACCCTGATACGGAGTGACTTTTATGTATTAATGTTCTGGAAGATCAACAAAAAGCAGTAGGGGATATGGCATGGGAAAGTCAGCATGCTCTATGGGTGTTAAACGATGTTAGTTTAAATTCACACACCATGTCAATGTGAGAACAGAGAGAATGGGCACCATTTTCATTACAGACCTACGTATTTCTTCTTAATTGTGTCTGGTGCTTAGGTACCAGGGCGAGACACAATTTAGAAATACCTAAGATAGCTACTGGAGAAAGGGTCACTACACTTTTGCTTTCCATTAATTAAACAAAACTGGATTGAAACATTCCCCTATAAGGGCGTGTACAGGCATACCATGCTATTGTCTCACTGTACGTTCTAGATTATATTATAGAATAGAATATGCTATAAATTATATTCTCATTTTAATGGAATATTTTCATAGCTTCAAAAGCCAGAAGGGACCATTGTGATCACCAAGTCTGACCTCCTGTATAATACAGACCATAGAGCTTCCTCCAAATAATTCCTAGGGCAGATCTTTGTTTATTTTAGTTTTACTTTAAGGAGGACAAAGGGACTGACCCTGCACTCCTAATTTGGGCAGAATTCCCATGCAATCATTAGGAATTTGCCCTGAATAAAGGAAAACATGATTGGATCTAGTGTAAGGCCTCCGGGATTTGGAACAATATTATATATTGCTTAAGCATGGAACATCCAGAGAACACCCTAAAGGAGGCAAAGTAGAAAAAGAAATTATTCCCAGTCTTTCCACTGTGAGATGTGCTAATTGTTCTTTACATTCATAGATTTATAAATGCTTCACTTTTTTTAATGTATAAATACCATGAAAGCTAAAATCCAAACAGGTGGCCCAGATTCTCAAATGTTGTTGTTTGGTAAAGCTCTACATAGCTTTACCAAGGCTGTATGGTGATTTACATCAGCTTTACGAATGGCCCAAAGCATTTCTAAAAATGCCTTTGATTTATCAAAAACCAAGTTATGTTTTATCTACCCCCTCTTAACACCATCCTCTTGAACCAAAACAACAACAAATAAGTCCAACCATCCCAAACACCATGAGTTGTTTTCACCCTTAAATATCCTTTCTCACATATAACCACTTTCTAATTCAGTTCATACAAATGAGTCAAATGTTGATGCGCTTCCTCCCTAGCATGTAATAATATGAAAATAACCAAAAGGCAACATCTACCCAAGTTTCTCACTTGACACCTTTCTCAATTATTCTTTCTTTTTGACCAATTAATATAACATTGACAAGCATCCACAGTTTTTGTTCAATAAGTGTCTCAACTGATTATCAAAGTTCAACTAATGCAGTATATTCAGGATATTATGACACGTAGACCGTATGTCTGCATTTCAGTGTTCTTTAGTATAGTACATTTGGCTATTTTTACATGATGAATATAAACTAACTGGAATAATAATAAAGTAAATTTGATGAGATTTACAGTTTGGGATAATACTGAATACAATGGTACCAAATCCAGAATGGTAAACTAAATTTTTCCATATTCAAAGTAAAATTGAATATTTGGTTGTCTGTTATAATGAAGACCAAAAATATTTATATATAACCATACAATTTATGTAGTATTAACTTAATCATAGCAATAGCAAAGATCAAATACAAAATACTGTCTTATTTAAAGATAAAGCTGGTGGACTTGGCTTATTCTAATGTAACAAGCCTGTAACATTTTCTTTGATTTGGGCAATAGTGGTGGTGAAATATCAATAAATACATATATGGAGATATACCTATCTCATAGAGCTGGAAGGGACCTTGGAAGGTCATTGAGTCCAGTCCCCTGCCTTCACTAGCAGGACCAAGTACTGTCCCTGACAGTTTTGGTTTTTTTTTTTGTTTTTTTTTTTTTGCCCCAGATCCCTAAATGCCCCCCCAATTGAACTCTCAACCCTGGGTTTAGCAGGCCAATGCTCAAACCACTGAGCTATCCCCCTCCCCCGGCCTTGAATAATTGAGTAGAAATCAATAGTTAATTAAATACTCTTTTTAAATAGAAGATGAGATCTTTTTTCTTAATGTTTGGTTTTGAATCCAAATTAGATATATACCAAAGTTTGCCTTTTCCAAGTAGCCAATTAAACAAGTTTATTTGCTAGTACATTTTCTATTTAAAATTTTTGTTTTTGACAGACACACTGATTTTTAAGATAGTCTCTGATCTTTTATCCCTAGTTTTCTGTGTGTGAATATTGTGGTAGCATTCCACAGTACATTCACTGCTAACTCTACCTGATCTACAGACACAATAAAGCACTTAGAAATCTAACTGCTATAAAATATCCCCACAATAATTTGCACCTACAAAATTGCAGATGCAACATCACATAGGATGCTTTTTAAAATTAGGCCCAATATCTTTCATTATATCTGATGTTTTCTTAAGTCATAAAAAGAACTGCTGCATAAAAAGTTTCATCATCAATGCTTTTTTGTGTACTCACAAAAACCACATACAAAGGCTAATGAAAGTAGACAAAGGCATAGTTTAATGCCTGAGCAAAGTACTAGGAGTTAGTAATTCTGAGTTTCTAATCCTTGTAATGTCAGTGACTTCTCTTATGAACTTGGCAAGTCATTTAATTTCTTTCTTAATTTTCTCATCTGTAATACATAGATAATAATTAGGATTGTTTTGGAAGATGGGGGCAAACAGTTGTGAAAGTTTTCATGAAATTTCATTGCTGGTTTCTAATAATTTTATATTTGTTTTAATTTTCCAATCAGTTCTAATACCCTAACCTACATCACAGCGGTGTTGGAAGGAAAGATGCATTGCTTGCAAATGGCTATGAAAATGACAAGCCCTATCTACATTCAAATTACCATTATTTATGTTGCTACTATTTTATTGACTTACAAACTGCATTAACTTCAGATAATGTTTCCAGCACATAAGTAGCACAAAGCTATGTATCTGTACTTGAATTGTGACCAAAGTTGCTCACTTAACTAAGCCTACTCAGCTTGCTGCAAAGACAAAGAGAAGGGCCGATACGTTAGTTATAGTTTGGAAAATCTCTTAATTTTTTCCCTATCTACTACGTTTTAAAAGTTAAATGTAATATTTTGTCAGGAGAGTTTACCCTGATACTTGTATTATTATGTACTTGCTCCCTATCAAACAAACCCAATGATAAACAATAATAAAAATTTAACATCCCCCTTCCAACATTGTGAAATGAACAAGGCTCTATTTGTTCTTGTTTCTATTAAAGAAATGTCAAGGTGGAAACAACTGTATGTATTAGGCTAGGAATAAGATCCACAAAGTACCCATCCAGCTACTTAAATTAGTGGTGGTTATTTTCAGAGTTTGTGGTACCAACTTTTGCTTCCATTTATTTACACCATTCAGATAAGCCAGGCCTTAGTAAGAGGTCTGCAGTCACTCCTGTAGTGAAAAAAGGACTATATGTAATGTCTTGAATATAACTATGTAGGGCTTTCAGAGTCCAGAGTCAGCTGTGCCTGAGCAATGCATTTTAAATTTTATTTTTTCTTCTAATTGTCAACACAAATGTACCTCATTAATAACCTGGCAGATATCTGCTGGGCTGCCAATTCTGTCAAAGTATGTGGTGGATTTTTTGCTAATGCACATACACAGGACAAAGATGATCCCACCAAACTTATATCCTTACCCAGAACTGTAAACCAGGGAACAAATTCACTGCTGGAGTAATCAGACACAACTCCATTGACCTTAAAAGATTAGCTATTTGCTTTTAGTGTTGGAGGCATGGTGCAGTGTGTGTGGTTAAAAAAAAATATAATATTAAAATGAGTCATTTTAGGCAGCTTCAATACAGTAGAAGCTCAGAGTTACTGACACCTGGGGAGTGGAGGTTGTTTGTAACTCTGAGCAAGCCATTAGGGGATGCTCCTCAGAGCGGACTGCTTGGAGCGGGGGCTCACAGCTCTGCAGTGGTGAGTTGGGGTGGGGGGGACAGGTAGTGTCAGTGGGTGCAGGGTGCAGGCTGTGGTCCTTTAAAACTGAGCTGCTCCTCCCGAGCACAGCATGCAAGCACTGCCAGGCAGGAGCTCGGGCTTCGGCTCCAGCAGTTTATACTCCAGGCCGGGTTTCAGTAGCAGCTCGGGAAATTTCTTTCCCAGGCTCTGAACTTGCAAGCTTGTCCCCCTCCCAGCCAGGGGGAAGGGAGAGGGGAAAACAGCAGTGAACCTGGCGAGTAGGGGGTGTTTGTGGGGACAGGCAGTCCAGATGTACCTATCTTTAAGATGCAATGCAGGCACAATACAGTATAGTGGGGTTTTTTTTGGTCTCAATACGATTACTTTAAAAAAAAATCACGTTCAGAAAACAACCTCCAAAAGGCAAATAGGTTTGTTTTTCTGTTTCCCCACATCTCCCCCCTCCTTCCCCCCCCCATCCCCAAAAGCAAGCTTGTTTTCCACCACAGAGCAAATGCTCTCAAGATGTAAGAGAAGAAAAGGGCCTTTTTTCTCTGCAGGACCATTTATGGGATCATATACTGCTAGTATATCCATCCTGAGGCACAAGTGTCTAGCCTAATATGTAACAA